TTTAATTTATTTAATTAATCTAATTTTAAACATTTATTAATATATTTATAAATATGTTTTTTTACATTTCTTTAAAAATAGTTTTACATGTTTTTTTTGTTTCTGTTGTTGTTGTTCCTCTAAAGTTTTCCCCGGACCCCCTAGCATTCCCTAGCGGCCCCTCATTTCTAGCATAAAATCTAATGTTGTTGACTTGCAGACACTGAGCTAAAATTTGCATTTGAAGAGAATTACAATAATTGAGCCTTGATGTAATGAAGGCATGAATAAGCCTCTCAGCATCAGGCCTAGAAAGAAAGGGTCTAATGCGAGAATTAAAAGTCAGCTGAGCATCAAAAGTCAACTGGGTATTGTCAACTGTAAGTTTAAAATTACGGCACTTATTAATATTAGATGGAGTGCCAGTTAATAAAATTTCAGTTTTAGAACAATTTAGCTTAGATGTATTTATGTAGTGCTGTCAAATGATTAATCGCGATTAATCGCATCCAAAATGTGTGTGTGTGTGCATATATATGATATGAGTCTTAATATGTAATACACAAATCACACTGCAAGTCACTTTCTGTTTTCTTTAATACCAATAGACATATTTCCATCCTTTTTACAGTGCTTTAATAAGTCCCTTACCTTATTTTTTAATGTTTCACATGTGCTGAACACTGGCATATTTTCATTCTCATAGTATAGTTTCCATTCCTCTCCATTTCTAGAAAAAAAGATAATTCAGTTGAACATCATCACAGTATGTATCTCTCTGCCTCCCTTTTCTCTCTGGCTGGCAAATTGTGTGTGTCTGGGACAAATCTGCAAAGCATTCGGATCTCTGTTTTGCATTAAGTTCCTCCACAGACCTTCAAAAGGCTCAGGTCTTTGGTTAAAGTTAGAGATGTGGCAATGATCTCTGGTAATTGTGGGGTGGAGGAGCTCCAGATCATCTATCTCAGAGCACCATCAAAGATCTTTCAGGATTTAAGTGTTTAAAAACATTGGCTCTCAAATTGAATGTGCTTGGAAACAGCAAACGGCAGACCTCTTTAAATACGTCTTAATTTGCGCCTGTGTGTATCCTAATTCTGTCCATGATGTACAGTGAAATGGAAACAAATACATTCCCTGTGGCTCTGTTCCACATAAAGCCTGAAGAGCATTTACTGCTTCTGTTGATGACTACTGCTACTGAAATGAGAACTGACCATTTACAGATCTGGTAGTTGGTTGGAATTGGTTTTTGCCTAAAATTATTATGGAAATACATCCAACTGCTCAGTAATTCACTTAAACTGACTATTCAAAAATGAACATATTGTGAATAATTTATGCTTTGAATGTTATATTACATAAATAATGACTGTGTTCTACTGTAGTGTATTATTACATGCATACATATTACATTGAATTATATCATGACTGGGAAACCTTTTTGCAAAGCTATTTTCTTTCTGCTAATGGCAAAAAGGCAGGCCTAGAATATTCTTGTTAACATTTTTTAATGCAAGCACTGCAATATTTAATGACCACGGTAAAAACACTCTTATTTTTCCACATTCGCATGCATTTATACAAAGTTGAAAAAAAAAATCTAATTCTAAAAATATTTAAATAATATCTTCACATACTGCCTTTGTATTAGTTATTATTTATATGTTAAGCAATTCTAACATAACATTTCTAGCTCTTTCCATCATTTTTGTATTATTTTTATAATGATAATCATCACCATGAACATCGTCATTAATTTATATAGTGGCTTTTCAAAAGTCACTGTACACACAACAACAACAAATAATCAAAATAATAATCAAAATAATACATATTTAATAATATAATGATATCTATTTACAGAAAAAAAAACAAGAAAAATATTTCTGAGAATTTGTACAAGAACAAACTGTGTGATTTAAAAAAATTATACACTGTACATGTTGGATAAATTGTACATCGTGACACCAAAAAAAAAAAAAAAAAATGCAAGGGAGGTAAAACAAAAATAATAATAAACTTACCTCATGAATTTACCTTATATAAATGAGTTTCATTTCAGGCAAATGTCCCCAGATAAATCCAAGCGCACTCCAAGTAAACATTCCGAGTACTGGTGAATTTCGGCTCAGGTCTCCATATGTAAGCAGCTGCTCTCACACACCGTCTCCTGCAGTCGGAATCTACACTTAGACAGCAATCTGGCAAAAAGCGTCCACACCTGACCAGTGTTCATGTCATAACTGTCCTAATGATGAAGAACTGTGAAAGTGACCTGTTTAAAACGGGCTCATAAGTCTTTTTCAAAACATAATTGCAAAGTTGAAATGTTATTAAGAAAAGGAGAGTAAGATCACAGGAAACATCATTTATCATTTATATAAACATCAAAGGAGAGTAAGATATACAGTAAACATAGAACATACTATTAATTTATACTAGCTGAATTTTTAAGAAATAATTACAGAATACGAAATGTCATGGAATCATGAAATATTATTTTCAAAATAACATTCCAGTGCATGTAACAGTAAAAAATACTTTTGACACATTTCTACTAATCATAATCCTTAAAACAAAGATCAATGTAACTGAGATTCCAATTTGAAATGAGATAAAGACTTTAGTAAGGTTTGTTCTTGAAACATTGCCAAGGAACATTTTAAGAATATGTATATTTTAAGACAACAAATATGCTTAAGAAAAACAGAAATTTGTAGTTACAAATTCTGAAATCATCATTCTCTCTGTATATAGCCTATTTAGTCAAATCTCTATCGCTTTAGATGTGAATTCACCTCATATTATTTTTGTAGCATTTTTACAGATAGAAATATCACTTTTATGGCATGAAATGAAAACTTAAAGTAACATCAGGGGTAAGACTTTCCTATCAAGGCTATCTGTTTATTTTTTACACAACGTGATTTTAAATGAGTAATATTTTCCTGATGTGAAAAGCTGTCATCGTGAGCTCAAGTGGTCTTTTTGAACAGCTCACACTGTAATGATTCCTTGTAATGGTTCATTTGAATGGCGTTTCTAATATTTGACTGTATAATATCTGTACTGACAGAGTGCAAATATGAGAAATGTTAGGGATGTGGAAATAAGTCTTCCCAGCGTGGGATGATTCAACTAAAATATACACGAGCAGAGCAAAGCCAGAACAAACCATCCGCTTTTACTTGTAATAGATGGATATTCGCAGTATGACGTGGCCATCAAAATCACCCCAACGTTTCAGTTAGCTGCACACGCCACAGCCTGGAAAGCTCACTGATTGCACTTTGATTGACCTAATACTCTTTTAAATATCTGCAGATCACACATGTGGAACAATGAACATTAGCGGCCATTCAAATAAGTGAGACGCAGGGCGGCACACATGGCCACTGTTTACATAGATTTGTAGTTAACGTATTTCTTTAGCATGACCACAGCGTGATCTTTTAACAATGCGATTCAAAAGCAATGATGTGTGAGTGCAAACTATTCCGGTTAGCAAGCGCCATCGGCGTCACGACCACGAACGAAAAAGCAAAGGGCGTTTCTGTTCATCTAGACATTTCACGTCGAGTCCGGTCACTTTCATGTGCGTTTCCAGTGAAAGATGATCGTCGGGTTTTTGGTCGTGTTCTGTTGAGGGTCTGGCGCTGGTGCTGTTCCCGCTGAGCCTGTGGTGGCAGTGGTTAACAGGGCGTAAAGGAGGGGGAAAGCAAAGGCTGTCGGGATTAGATGAGAAGAACTGTTGGATTGCCAGCGGGTTGCGCACTGAACTCCTGAACTCCCACTTCTCCTCACAGGGGCTGCGTTTTTTTCGCATGCCAGTCTCTGCGAGGTCAGCGAGAGGTCGTGGGGCTTTCACACATTGGCCCGTTAACGAGGCCTTCGAAGCGGGGCGAGCTGTGAGGAGACACTGGGATCCGGTCGGAGGGAACAGCAGGAGGGGGAGCGCAGACAAACCCAAACACCCCACAGGAACATCAGCACAAATTGATGCAGCATAAAGGCCGGTCCTGTGAGGAGTGATTTGGGGCGTGTAAATGCCTTCAATGTAAAGTTTCTAAAAAGGTATTTACTCCTGTCTTCAGGGTAATTTTACCTCAGTTTAGCAAGTTGGGTCGAGACTGTAATGAGTGGGGAAATAAAACAACAGGATCTTTAAACATTTAAAGTAACATTCCAAGTTCAGTACACACTCTGAAATCGCTATTTTCACAAACGATTACAAAGAAACAGCAAGGACTTTGAATTAAACATGAAATTGTTGAAATTGAAAGCAGAAAGTGTTTCTTGTAAAATGTACTACAATAATATTTGTTTTATTTACCACTTTACGGTGTAAGTTAAGCTCTCTTGTTTTCTTTTAAAAATTGAGGTGATGTTGAGGCACTTATGACACAAGTGAATGACACCAGTCTTTGGAAAATGTAAAAGCAATTATTTTATACAAGCGCTTACATTAGTCCAGATAATGCATTTAAAAGAATAATTAAAGCTGTTTTAATAATTTTTATGGGTTTTTTTTTTTTTTTAACTAAGCATGTTTTTCCACACTAAAACCATGTTAAATGCACATTGTTTTACCTTTTTTGAAGCTATTCTATTAAAATAGTATTTTAAAGAGACAGTTCACCCAAAAATTATGTCATTAATTACTCACTCTCATGTCGTTTCAAACCCGTAAGACCTTCGTTTATCTTCGGAACACAAATTAAGATATTTTTGATGACATCCGAGAGCTCTCTGACCCTCCATAGACAGCAAGGATCCTAACATGATCAAGGCACAGAAACGTAGTAAGGACATCGTTAAAATGATCCATGTGACATCAGTGGTTCAAGTGTAATTTTATAAAGCTACGAGAATAATTTTTGTGCGCAAAGAAAAACAAACATAACTACTTTATTCAACGATTTCTTCTCTTCCGGGACAGCCCTCAGCCATTATCGACCACTGATGTCACATGGACCATTTTAATTGCATCCTTATACATTTTTAGTTAGTGTAGAAAAAAAAACAAAAAAACAAAGTCAACTGTCATTTTACAATCTTTTTTTTTTAAATCAATATTTTTTTAAGGAAAAAGAGGGATGTGTGGAAATGTATATATATATATATATATTTTTTTTTTTTTTTTTTTTTTTTTTTGTGGTAATCATTATTATACCATAAAAGACATTTTGCCAGTCACATGACAGAAATATTATTGGTCCATGTGAAAACAGATCAATCGTTTATGATGAAAAATAATTTATTTTAGCCTTAATTTACTTTCATTATTTTACTTTTTACATTTTTTTTTATTAAATAGACATTTTACAAACTTTTTTTAATGAATAGGTTTTTTTCTTTAAAGAAAATAAGGGACAAGTGGTAAACAACATTAGGCCACAAACACTGTTGACAAAGCAAAAATGTATTGAACCTGAATAGTTCTTTAAATATTTTGTAGCCACTTTTATCTGAAGCAACTGAATTCAGTCTATAGATTTTTAGTATTATGCATTCCCTAGGAATTCAGCCCATGACTTTGGCAGCACTGGCACAATGTGCTATCAGGAAAACAAACACTTGAGGCTAACACACACACACACACAAACCACAGAACGCTGTATAACAGTTGTATCTCATTTCATGTTTTAATGAGGAGAGCCAAGTTGGGCTTTTTTCAATTTTTAGAAAATAAACCAATAACAATATTACAAATAATGAAATTGTTACATCATTCACAGGGTTACAGTCAAATGTACATTTTATACAGTGAAACAGGACCTCCCATCTCCGTCACAGTGGTCCAGGTGGGCAGTGCTCCATTTCGGCTCACGCGCGAGAGAGAGAGAGGTCTGCCGCCCTGTAATGAAAAGCAGGGCTGAGAGACATGGGGACGAATGCACTACTGCCTTCCTAACACCAGAGGGTGCTGCGGCCCTACAGGCACTACAGCTCTGTACGGGGAGCCATTTTCTATTCAAGAACTTCCCACCATATTTGGAGGATGCAGGCAGAAATATGGACCAATGAGAGTGAGCCAGAGCCAGCTTGTATTTACGTTCACAATCGCACATAATCATCATAATAATGGTTTTGCATTGGTATTACACTCCGGCGGTGGCTGCGAGCATATGCTGTTCACAGCTTGCAGTCACCAGCTTTCAACAAAAAGCTTTAAATGGTGCATGGGATCACATTTTTGCTTGCCAGAAGGAACATTTGCAGTTCGCATGTCCACATAACGGCAGCTTTTTGGCTATTTTCAAAAGGGTGCTGAGTATTAAAAAATGACCACATACCATCGTTCCCAGCACTTCGTATGAAAAAAAAGAGCTGTGTTGTGGTAGAAACTATGCGTTTAAGGTGATAATCCATGTGAAAAAAATAATAATAAGTGCTTAAATCACTCAGCATGACATTCTTTCACACTCTCGACGCCACGTCTCATTTGTCTGTGGTCTACGTAGTGTTCTGTGAAACAACAAATGAGAGAGGGAGACGTATGAAGTAATTAGTCCCCTACCGAGAAACAAACTTGAGCGGTTAAAGATGCAGTGGAAAAATAGAATTACATAAGACCGCCGTGATGAAATATTTCTATGTAAATACAGGTTCGCTGAAGAAAATGCGTGGCAAACGTCAAGCATGTCATAATCTTTCAACATACCAATATCTTAAAACAGAAAGGCTCATTGGTCGTTAATGTTCCTTCTGATCTCTCACTGCAAAGTGCCAGAAACTCATGTGATCATCAGCGCCAAGCTGCAAGAAAAGCGTCTTTTTGCAAATAGCGCAGGCCCGTGAAACTGTACTTATGAAACGACACATTTCATTGGAAGGAAAAGAAGATGAGGATCAGGAACACAGGATATCCCTTCAGCACTGGATTTCATTCAAAGCCCTGTTAATCCTGTGCTGTTAGGCTGATTTAAAACACGCTGTAACTTGTGGGCAGCACCTCTAAATATTGCTGAGCTACTGCCATGAGAGTCTCAACTTCTGCAGACGTACAGCAGCAATGTGTGTGTGGATCCCGGAATGTGTGCTGGAGCTTTGAGTGACAGTGATTGTCCTAGGAGGGTGAAGCAGAAGCAGTGTTATTCTGAGGAAGACGAGGGATTCAGAACCTTAGTCTCACAGTGCAGCAGTGACACTGAGAAGCCATTAAATATTGAGAG